AATTTGATATTTAATTTATAAAAATATATATTTATAACGATAAATCCGAAACGGTACACGAAAAATTCCGGTATCCGATACGTACCGTTCCAGTAGCAAAACCGGTACGCATACCGATACGGTATTGACAACTTTAGGTTAGAGTCACTTGGCTGAAGGGCCAAGTTCATATAAATATGATATATAATACTTATAAGTAAGTAAATTTTAACTATTTTAAAAGAAAATGAATGTAATCTTTGTACAAGGTAGATATCAAGTCAAAATTTGCCGATCTTTATTATTTGTAGGATTAGTACAATTTACTCATTTTGATCGTCATCATCTTGTTTTACCTTTTGGTCAGGTATTTTACTATGAAGAAATTGGATAAGGCCTTTGAGGCAAACTTCAGCATCATTTCTCTTCATCAACTCCCCTGCAACTTCAGCAGGACTTGCCTCAACCTGACACAGTAATCTTTCAATCTCTTCAAAGAGTTTGTGATGGTCAATTCCGAGGTAATTGAAGGCTAACTGCTTGAATGCAGAGAAGGTGCAATAAGACAAGTTAATATGCATGTCCATGCGACCAGGCCTCAGCAATGCAGGGTCTAGCCTTTCCTTGTGGTTGGTTGTGAAGACAATGATCCGTTCTTCACCACAGCATGACCATAGTCCATCAATGAAGTTCAGAAGTCCGGAGAGAGTTACCTGATTTTCGCCATTTTTGAATGATTCATCATCCGATTCTCTGTTCTGTAGCTTGATTGTGCAGTCAATGTCCTCAATGACAAGTATGGATTTGCTGGACATCCGAATCAGTAGTGATCTCAGTTCAGAATTGCCCCGGACTTCTGTCAACTCCAAGTCATAGATGTCATAGTTCAGGTGGTTTGCCATGGCAGCAATCAAGCTAGATTTCCCTGTTCCAGGAGGACCATATAGGAGGTACCCCCGTTTCCAAGCCTTACCAATCTTTCTGTAGTATTCCTTTCCATTCATAAACACGTTCAAATCTTCCAATAATGCCTCCTTGATCTCTGAGTCCATTGCAAGGGTCTTGAAAGTCATTGGATGATCAAGTGCGATCGGGTCTTCGTCCCAAGCACCGAAAGGAGCAACAGTATGCAACTTTGTCACCTTGCTTTTTTCTTTAATGCTCTTTGCTCTCTTCAAAACATATGGAATGTAAGAACTTAACACTTTGTCCTTGTTCTTCTTGTGGAAACTTAGCTCATATGATCGAATTTCTGAACGCAAACAAGCATTAAGATCATTAGAATTTCTATGTGAAGCTGATTCAACCTGTGAACAGACAAACCTCCATTTTACTTGTATATTGTCATATTCATCGATCACCTCTTCATCTCTGTCCATTGAAATTGTTAAATTTTGATCCTCATTCTTGCTGATTTTGACCCTCTGAGCAAAAGTAGGTGCTTTGGTGCCTAAATATGCATTAGCTGCGTCAAAGACCTCGTTAGGTGAAAACCCCTGAAACTCTTCTACAACAATTGTCAGTTGAGATGAGAAAAACTTCCGTGAAATACCATGAAGGAGTGAGGAGAAAAAGCCATGGACTTCGTGTGGGAGGAAGTCATTGGCAATGCTTCGTATGAGCATGGCTGAAGCAGCAAAAGAAGCTGCTGCAGAGAGAAGAGCCTTTGCATTGGGTTCAGAGAATGCCATTTTCAGGATTTTGTAGTGATATGTATGTAGCAGATGGCTGTGTTTTGGTTATTAGGGTTGCCTCCAAACCAGAGCTTTTATAGAACAGAAAATTTGATGAACTCTTCTAACAGCTCTAGGGGCAAAGGCATTGTTGATTCTTGCCCCCCAAGTTTCCAGAAGGAAAGTTTTGACTCATTCTCAAATTTACCATTCAGAAGATTGCCTCCTTTCCTGGGTTGAACTTGTGTAATGGGAAAATTTGAATTGACTTTTCAAAATCAAAAGCGACTTGACCAAAAATTTATGATGACAAAGAAAACGAGGAAGAATCAGAAACCAGAATTTAATCTCAGAAAACTTTTAACGACCAGTTCCAGCCTCCAGATGACCATTGACAATGTATTTCCTTGGCCACCAAGGCATGGAAAGACAGATTTGATTTTTGCAATCAAAATTTTAAAAAGAAGAAAACCTTGAAAAATTTCAAGAGAATAATCAAAGTAAAGAAAAGCGTTGCCATCCAACCTTCCATATGGTCATTGTTATTCTCTACAATGTCTGCCACCATGAAGATTCATGCTTTCAACCATAATCCACCCAAAAAGAAAAGAAGAACAGAATATATCTATCTAATACACTGCATAAACCTCTTCCAGTTTCGTCTAATCGAACCTAGAAAATTGAATCAATCCAAAATCTCCAAAAACACAAGGATAAATGAGATTATGATGAATGCAATAATTATCACACATCTAAAACAAAGGACTCACGCACATCTACAAGTTTTTTCCTAATTTCCATGTGAGTAATGCTTTTTAACTTTATTTTTTGTGATCAGCAGTAATGCTTTTTAACTTAATAGAAGAAAAGCTGAAATCAGTAAAAAGCCATTACAAAACAAAAGGTAAAAAAGTAGCAAAGGCCTAACATATTTCATTAAAGCATGAATGACAAGCTTTCATGAGTTTTATTCTGTATAGATATAAGAAACACTGATGGTGCAGACGGCACCGGATCATAGCAAAGCATAAGTTATAAAAGATCATCTGAAATTCAGACCTTATGGCATGTTACTGAAAGGCATCCAGTTTTAGGTACATGGATATATTTTGTGGATTTATGGAAAAAGGCTGTTGGTGGAAAAGCAGCTTAGATTAACGAAAAATGGAAGGAATATGTGAAATTAAGAGCTAGGTTTAACCGGTGTTCTGCAGTCCAGCAGCAATACCCTTCATGGTCAAGATGAGGGTGTCCTCCAAACCTGGGGCATATTCACTTGTTGGGTTCAGTTTTACAAGCTCATCAGCTGGTTTGCTTGATTCTGTAATCTCTTTGGAGATGTGAGGCCGGAGCTTCACGCTGTAATTTGGATCACGAATGCGTTTCAGTGTGTAAGCTTGACAAACATTGAGAGTTGTGATGTATGAATCACGCAGCCTGAGTCTTTGCTTCAAGTGTGGATCCCCCTCAAGAAGATCTCTGTGCCCAGCAATCTGAAAATGAAGGAAAGAAATTTATGATATAGGTTCAAAGAGGCCTCTAAATTGCTCAAAGGTAAAAACTTGGAATCAAAGACGCTACTGCTGCTACATTCAATACGCCTTTCAATCGTAAAACTAGGTAAAAACTTGCACTATCAAGAATTGGAAAGTTTACCCGGAGGAGAAGGCTCTTTGTTTCTTCATAGTTAGCCCTCAGCCGCTCGCCAAAAGACCACAACTCTTGAGAAACCAGGAGCTTATCATACAAGGCTGCTATCCCGGGGTCACCTTTTGCAAAAACCATTTCAACCAAATCAATGGTGACTCTGAAGAAAGGCCAATTGTTGTACATTTCCTGCAGCATAAGGAGATTTTTAATGTCCTTCTGAATAACATGTTTAAATGCTGCTCCAAATCCAAGCCAGACAGGAAGATGGAATCTTGTCTGCGTCCAGGCAAATATCCACGGAATTGCACGGAGAGACTCAATACCCCCACTTGGCTTTCGCTTTGATGGACGGCTTCCAATATTCATCCTACCATACTCCAACTCTGGTGTAGCCTAAACCAAAAATGAAACAGGAATGTTAGATTAAAATGGCTTTCAAGCACTTTAAGGAACAAAATGTTTAATGTTTTTGTACTCACAAGACGGAAATATTCGACAAATCTAGGTTCTTTGAAGACAACGGAACGGTATTCCTCTGTGGCAATAATGGCCATTTCATCCATCAGGGCACGCCATTCTGGTTTTGGAGAAACTGGAGGACGCATACCATGCTCTAGAGTGGCAGCTGTAAAACGCTGCAGTGTTCTAAAGCACAAGTGCTCCTCTCCAAATGATTGCTCAATGACTTCACCTTGAACTGTAACTCTAAGTGACCCATGAATGGTGTCTGGTGGTTGAGACAATATAGCAAGATGGGTGGGACCACCACCTCTCCCAACAGTCCCACCCCGACCATGGAACATGGTCAGCTTGACACCATATTGCTTAGCAACCTTTATAAGCTCCTCTTGAGCTTTATATAACTCCCAGGCAGCAGAGAGACGCCCAGCATCCTTGCCAGAATCTGAGTACCCAATCATGACCTCTTGTTTGCCATTGATCCGATTTCTGTACCAATCAATTGAGAAAAGTCTAGCCAAAGCAGCAGGAGCAGCCTCCAAATCAGCAAGCTTCTCAAACAGTGGAACAACTCTTAATGGTTGCTTCACTTGGCATTCACGCTGCAGAAGCTCAACAGCAAGCACATCAGAAGGTGCAGTTGCCATTGAAATGATGTATGCTCCAAAGTTGTCTGCTGGGAGCTCTGCTAACACATGAAAAGTGTCCAAAACATCTGCTATTTCTTCAGTTTTTGGAAGATCAGGTCCAAACAATGGTCGTTTGCCACTTAATTCTGACAATAGCCACTGTTGTCTGCGTTCTTCAGGCCACTCTCGATAGGAACCAATTTCCAAGTGTTTGGTAATGGCATCGATAACATCAGTGTGACGGTCAGATTCTTGCCGGATGTCAAGTCTGACAAGTGAGAGTCCAAAAGTGGAGACTTGCCTCAAAAAATCAAGGAGGCTTCCATCAGCGATTGACCGATCACCACAAACACAGAGTGATCTATAACACAGTTCCAGAGGTTCAAGGAACTATAGGAAATATAACTATGAAATTAGTTCCCAGAGCCAGTAAAGAGGAGATTATGGTTAGAGAAATAGAAGAGCTGATGGTTATTCATGAGTCTAGGCTCAAATAACCATTCCAAAAAAAAAAAAAAAATTTATGATTAAGGAAAAGGAAACCGAACCTGTTCGACATTGGTAAAAGCTGCCTCCTCTGGAATCTCAGACATACCATGGGATAATAATTGGCGAGACCGCTCACGTGTTTGATAAAGCTTATCCCTCACATCACCAAGAATAACACGGTATGGTTCGTTGGCAGGAATTTGTTTCCAAAACTCTGGATTAAGAGTTAGGCATCAAGAACCATAATAATATAAGAAGAATATGCCAACAGTATATTGAACACCACTAATTCCTTTTCTGCATTTTCAGAAGGGGTGCAATATTATTTTTTCCTTATGGAAACATCTGAATGTATTCTTTATTTCTTTATAACACCCAAACAAAAAATTTCGATCCTAAGGAAAATTCCTGTTTCAAAATAGGAAAAACATTAGAAAACAACTTTTGCATGCTCTGATGTTTCCAACTCCTTGAACAGCTTAAGAAGAGTTTAAATGAAAGAAGTGAAAGGCAGGTTATCTTAACATTTTCTTAGGAGAATGTTGCCTTAACATTTTCAAACTAAGAAATGTAGTTAAATAGGAGAATATTGTCTTAAAACATAATAGAACCAAGATTTGTTATAGCCAATTTGGAAGAAGTGAAAGGCACATAGAAATCAAATTGGAAAATAAATTTACTGAAATGGCATGATATTGATTTCAGATTAGACAACACAAATGGAATCCCTATTCCCTAGCAAATTTTGACACACACCAATGTAGTGTTTTGCATCTCTCCTCAAGGTTCTGTGGAGTTCGTCTGCACGAACACGAAGCTCATCACTACAACGCCACATTGACAACTGGCAAAAGAAATCAATACAGAGTTAGCATATGCAGTTGCGTTAAATGAACATCCTTAGATTACATTAGAAGAGACAGAGCTACTCCATGCCTCAAACATCAAATCTTCAATTTGGGAATAATACAGGTTCGCAGCCATCATTCTAGCCAACAGGCAAACATCTCTTGTAACCTCAGGTGTTACCCTTGGATTACCTGTATTATAAATAAAGCACGTATTCAGTCAGAAAGAGGTTGCCAGAATTGCAATTAACAAATGCATCCATGACCTTTCAACCCTTTGGAAAATATTCAGCCATCCCTAACTTTCACTAACACATCCATGAAGAATATGTTCAACTATCCCTAACAAAATATTAGAAACCGGAAGGTTGTCATTCATTAGGTGATCTAGAGGATCATACCATCTCGATCACCACCCATCCATGAAGAAAACTGAATGAGTGGGGCATTATAGGGAACTCGTTCATCAATCCCAATGTTCTTCAAAGCTGTGTCAACACGGCGCAAGAATTTGGGGACACCCTTCCAAACTGTCTCATGGAAGTAGCTCATTCCTGCCCTCATCTCATCCTGTGGAGTTGGAGGGGTCCTTCGGATCTCATCTGTACGAAATGCAGCTTGAATCTTTACACAAGGAAAGAAAAGAATAAAATCAGTGACAATATTAGGTTTCTTAAGCATTAATTTAATTAATTTTTGATTTTTTTGCATTTTAGGTAAGATATATTCATTTAACTGCAGAAAAATAAACAGTTTTCTATTCTTCAATTGAAACATAAAATTCTGAAAATTACATGTTGATGGCCAGAAAAATAAGAGAACTACAACTCTATAATCCAAACATTATTTTTGTTTGACTTATTGCACAAAATTAGTTCACATTCCTGAAAAATAAATAGCAAACATTTCATGTAGAATTGGGACGGTCTTCTGTCAAACTTCCCAAACAAACTAAAGCATTTCTCTTTATCAAGTAAAAACTATATCAGCTATTAATTTAAGAATTTCCATAAAATATAACAGGAAGATGTACAGCTCCCAAAGGATCAACATTTAAATCACAAATCTTGACAAACTAACCAAAAAGTTCAGGAAAAAACACAGTGACTGTTTCTAGCAGGTACTTGCTCATGCTCAAAAGGATCTATAGGAACATATCAATCTCAAACCTTGGAAATACATCACTTGAACAAAAGACTAATACCACTAACCAGAGCATCTCATACAAAAGAGCTGAAAACTTGCCAAGCCATACCTACTGCTGAAAACACCTTACAATAAATTTGAACTCTTAATTCAGACTCATTCCCTATGTTCTCTTTGCCAATGGAGGAAATACAGTGATATGTATTATCTATATGAACAAGCCACTTGATTGTTAGAAAGAAAAACAGGTACGTTAAAAAATAAAAAACGAAAAGAAATGAGGTAGACTGATATACTTATGTTAAAAGCAAACTGGTACTTCAAACTTTTTTATTCATGGCCTAAACGGAAATTATGAGTTTGCATGCTTAAAATTTTTATGCTAAGAACTTGTATATGTTAATATCAATATGTGAAATGAATAAATCAAATTGAAATACTTATTAAAAGATAAATCAACAGGCAAGATAATTTTACCTCACGCTGTAGAGCTTCATCAAGCTCCTGCTTATCATCTGGAGTAATATCTTTAGCATAGAGCTGGGCCAGACAATTCTGTATCCTAAAAACATGGTAAACAGGAGTTCTCAAATTATTTAGCAGAAACAGGTATCAAACAGAAGCTGATCAATAAACTGCTTCTTGAAGTGGGAACAAAATTCAGAAAACTGCTGAAACTGGAGACCAGACCTTGCATGCTTCTGAAGTAAAGATCTACGAACTGATTGGGTAGGATGAGCAGTGAAGACTAAATCCACAGTCTGATTCTTAAGAGCATCAAAAACTTCCTGAGGAGACTTCTTGAGATCCACCACTAGTCTTTTGAGAGTTTCCTCAATGTCTGACTCAGTAGTTGCAGAGTTTTCATCAGATATATCACCTTTCTTCAACTTGATCCTCCTGCGGTGAGCAATCTGCACTTCTTCAGCCAGGTTGGCCAAGTTAAGCATGTGGGAGAAAGCCTTGGTAACAACAATGGAGTCCCCCGGATCCAAACTAGTCAAAGCATTTCCAAGCTCTTCCAACTTCTGAGGATTATGCTTTCCCTCATACTGGGCTGAAAGCTCATAACACTCTTGAACCTAAACAAATCAAAATAGATGGAACCAACTTAATCATTGCAAGTTTGCAACTCATTGCACAAAGTGCAATATCAAGTCTTCAAATTTCCCATGAAAAAGCAAATAGAAATTAACAAATGAATCTTTAGAAATGAAAAAAAGCTAGGATCTCTATGATCATCAAAAAGAACTACATCTATGTAACCCTCCTCAAATCAGCTACTACATCAGCTACTACATTAGCACCAGCTCACACAACTTCAAAATCAATGGTAACTAAAAAACATAGTCAACTTGGAATCAGTATCATCGTATCACACACAAAGTCCACATTTTTTCATATTCAAAATGAATCCCAATCAAACCCCATTAAAAAAATTAAGTTCTTCAAATTAGGACATTGACCAAAACAAACTTTTATGTTTCTGTCCCCCTTAACGATCAACATAAGATTCAAAGAGATGAAATAGGAAAGGACAATACCGTCTCCTTGAGATCCTCTCCATGCAAGTCCTGAAGAATGTCAAGAAACCGATCCAGAAGCAGAGCATCATATTCAATCAATTTGTCATCTTCACTCACTTTCCCCGGGACAATAAGCCGAAGCTGTGCATCAATGGAGGCCAGCTTCTCAATGTTCCTATTCGCCATTGCTCACTTCCAAGCCAACTCTCGTCTTCCTGGATAAAAAAAAAAAAGGAAAAAAAAAACCTAACTTCCAATCACCTTCCAAAAAATTCCAAAACCCAAAAACAAACAAAGCAAAAAATCACTAGTGAATATATCCCCGTAGCTACATAATCTGATCACGACCCAGAAAGACAAAACCTAATCTTCAATCAGATAGAGAAAAGGACAAGCCTAGCCTAAGGGACCCAAAAGTTCATCAGAATCAAATATGGGACCCTGGCACATATGGTTCAAAGTCAAGGTCTTTTCGAAGGACCCATATAGATAATGAAGTACCTGAATCTGGGCAACTGAGGTTAGAAGAAGGGAAGACCAAATTCTAGATTTGCAGATGGGTAAAAACACAGAGCAGTAGTATAGTATTATATATAGAGAAGAGAGAGGACCCCGGTATGAATTTCAGCGCATTTTTCTAACTGAGTAAAGGCAAAAACTTGCGTTAACATTTAAGAGGCACAAATTTTACATTGTTTCCCAAACGTCTTGGGCTTTGATTTCTCTGTTAAAAAGTCAGACTTTGAGCTGCTTGGAGTGTTTTGTTATGGCCAGTCTTTATGCGAAAGGGATATGCTTGAGGGATTCCTTTACTGAGTTGAGATACTTTCCCCGAGTCAATGAAATTGCCATTTTACCGTACTCAAAATCTGGTTTCTTTTAAAGGAAAAAAATGAAAATTATTAAAGTAAAATAATTCACTTGTGATTTTATTTGGTAATTATATAAAAATAATATTTTTGTATAATATTTTTATATAATATTTATATATGAAAAAATACTTATCAATTCTGATTTTTAAAAATAATTAAAGTTTCAACATTAAATTATATTATATTATTTAATTAAAATTTAATTTAAAATTTAAAAATTATTTTATTAAATATTGATATATTAAAATGTATAATAAGTTTTAAAATTTAGATATTAATATTTAATAAAATAAAACTTTTAGTTTTCAAATATAGATTAGAACTTTAATTATTTTTAAGAAGAGATTGATACACACTAATATCTTTATGTTATTAAATACATATTTGTATAAAAAAATCATTGAATTCTAATTGAGCAAAAAGAAATAATCATTAAATGATCCATAAAATTATATAAAAAATTTACAAAAAAAAAAATATATCTCTAAATTATTTTCCAATTTTATGTCCCTCACATTAATCATGGCTTTTTTTGGGATAAATTTTCAAATTTAGTTCCCAACATTAGCATAAATAAGACTATTTTATCTTAATTTTCTATTTAGGCAAAAAATGGTACCTAATCTTTTCAAAATCACTAACCCTAATCGCGCATACTGTTTATTTCAATGAAAATTCTAGTTAGAATTTTTATGAAATTGATCTAATAAGTTGTTTGATATAACAGTTTAAAACTAACTTTTAGTGGCTTCATTTAATCTAACTATCTATATTTCTTATTATTAATAATCCAAACACTTTTATTCATTCAATTATATAGAATTGCTAATGACTA